GCGGGGAGAGCGAGCAGGCTGGCTGATAGCGGGCAAGCCTGTGGCCGCTGGGCAGAGAGACGACGGGGGCGAGCGAGGCTCTGGTCAGAGCGCAGCGCGAAATTCCCGGGACGCGCGCTGGTCGCCCCGAGAGGGTCCCAGCGACGCGCGCAGGTTGCCCGCGGCGCGAAGCCAAACAGTCAGACCGTCGAGAGACGGCGAGGCTCGGGCGGGCCGCTCCTCAGGTCAAGCCTCGCGGATAAACTCGGTGAAGCCCAGCTCCCTGGCGAGGGCCGTCGCCTCCCTTCTGCACCGCCTCGTGCGCGCAGCAAACTGCTCCAGCTGCTTCCGCAAGCCCTCCGGCGGCCCTGCCAGGAAGAACTCGATGCGCGGCGCCCGCATGAGCAGGAGGTCCTCGTGGCGCGTGGCGCGCGAGAGCAGGACGTAGAGCTCCAGCCACCAGTCGCCGTCCTCCTTCTTGCCGTTCCCCACCTCGTGGCGGCCGCAGTCCAGGATCACGCCTGGGCGATGTCGGCCGAGGGAGCAGCGCGCCGGAAAGCCGAAGGCCCAGGGCGAGAGCCCACGAGACCGAGAGAAGGTCTGGCTGCGGACCGCTCGGCGCGAAAGGTTCGGCCGTAGACTGCCCGGCGGCGCCGTTCCCCCGCCCCGTCGCCTTCCCGCATGGTGCGCCCCTGGCACGCCACCGTGGTGATGACCCTGCCGTGCGAAAACGGGAAGCCCGTCCGGGTGACCTTGGAGGTGCGGAAGGTGAACGGCTCCGACGTACGGGGCTCGATGAACACCAGCGGGCCCGTGAGGTCCCCCGTGAGGCTGTCGTCGTGGCGCCTCAGGTCGTCCACGAAGGGCGCGCTCGCGTACTTCTCCATGCGCACCCAGAACCCCAGCGGCAAGTGCTTCAGATAGACCCTCTTCTCCCCGTCTCTCTCGGCATTGTCGACTGCGTCCCGATCTCGAGGGTCCACGACGATGTGCACGATCTGGCCCTCGGCGTCCTTGACGAGGCCGTTCTTGAGGTCGAGCGCCTCCAGGAGCCGGATCCGCATGCCGACATGCACCGAGAGCAGTCCGTGCATGCCACCGGTGTTCTTCGGGTTGGCACAGTTCATCATTTTGGCGGCGTCCTTGACATTCATCGTCGGGGCAGACCTGTCGGCGGCCTGCACGAGGAAGAGGGGCTTCTTCAGGACGTCCGCGTCCCGCTGGGAACGCATGTTCATCCACCGCGCCACAGTGTCCCAGTAAGACCCAATCATGTGGCCGTTCTGGAACCTTTCCTCCCGGAGCCGGCGATCATCGGGTTTCAACTGCATGGCGTTCCACGTGGCACGGATGGCCGGCGGGACCTGCTTCCCCGGCTTGCGCAAAAACGCCATGAGATCACGAAGCTTCGGGTCTTTGAAGCGGTTGGACGCCTGGAGCTCGAAGCACAGCGGCGTGTTGCAGAAGAGCTTCATCACGGCCTGGTACTCTGGAGCGAGGTTGATGCCCGCCTTCGCCAGTTCCTCGAAGCTGGAGATGAGGGACACTTTGCCTCCCGTCGGCTTCAGCTGCAAGAAGTCTCCCAGGTGGATCACGATCGGCATCCGGCCGAAGGCTCCGCCGACCTGGTCGTACTCCCGCTCCTCCGCGCCCCACTCGGCCTTGCGTCCCAGGTAGGACCGGAAGGCGAGCATGTTGTACAAGTTGGGCGAGATCATGCTCACCTCCTCCAGGATCAAGCACCTGACCGCCTCCCACGTGTCCTGTAGCGCTTTCAGCTTCCCCCCCGCGGGTATGTCCTTGTTCCTGAAGGACTGCACTCCTATGACTCCCGCTCGGTGGCAACTGACGGCCTTATGAGCGCCCGTGGAGATGTTCGCGGCCTGCGACCACTTCGCGCAGACTATCTGCGTGGACTTCGCCTTGCCCGGTTCCACAGGGAACAGTGCGTCCATGGCCGGCAGCACGATCTCCTGCACCATGGCGGTCTTCCCGCTGCCGCCCTGGCCGAGGAGCAGGAACTGGAACGTCTTCCGCTTGGCGTGCTTGGCCATGCTGCCGTCCTCGATCTTCTGCTCCTCGTCCCACACCACGTTGCAGGCGTTCGCGAACGCCGTGACGAACAGGGCCTGGTCTGGCTTCAGAGGGCGGGGCTCCTGCCGCCCCGTTCTCGGGTTGACCACGCCGTCCTCGAACTTTGTGACGAGGAGCTTGACGAAGTCGCTGGGCCGCTGCATCTCCTCCGAAGGCTCCCACCGTGCCTGCGCCGCCTCGGCTGGCATCGCGCCAGCGGCCGCTGCGCCGACGTCGTCCGGCGCGGGTGCGTCGGCCACGGGCACGTCCGCATCCATCGCGCCTCCCTTGGCGAACCTTTCCCGCTGGGTCTCCACCAAGCTCTTCAGCTCGTCTGCGTCGAGGTCGCGCAGGGCCCTGAACGGAGCGAGGACGTTGTCCTTCAGGGCGCGGGCAGCGCGCCGCGATGCGTCGGCGTCAGTCGGCCCGGGCAGCGCGCCGTTCTCCA